CCTGCTTAAATACAAGCTTTGATTGACACATGATTTTTTCTTGTCATTGTGTCATATCTCTGGTACTATGCTGCAGCTTGATGATGTATATCCTCACTTTTCATTACAACACTGGATTTTTACTGAGTGCTATGTTACAGCTGTTACAAGCTTAAAATTGAAATCAGTGCAAGTTCAGTTTGACAAATATTTTCTCTAATGGATTTAAAAACAAATGTCATGTCATATGCCTGAAAAGACATTTTGCCTAGAAAGTAATACACTTCTTTTTGCCCCTTTAATTATTTAATAAAAATAAATTACCTGGGATATTTTTCACTCAAAAGATTTAAAAATGCATAAACTTTAACCTAAAGCACTTGTCAAAGATCATTTCTAAGATAGGCGATGTTTTGTTTGCTTGTTCTGTAATCTTTTCTTAGGGTGAAAAGGGAACTGTAGGTGACCCTGGACCCAGAGGACCGTACGGCTTGCCTGTAAGTTGCACATAGTTTGTACACATTGTGCTTTTCATCACTCCTTGATTAAACTTTGTGTGCTTCATGACTGCTTTTCACCTAGCAGTGCAGTTATTTGGAAAAGGCGAAGATAGATAACAATCCCTGACAGTGCAAGGTCACTGGTCTGTATCGCAGACTTAGATTCCTTCCCATGCATGTCATCATACAAAAGTAACGAAACAGACCTGACATGAACCAGCAAGATGGGGGAAATCCGGAATGCAAGTGCTCCTGTTTCTGCAGCCAGTGGCCATCAGCTGTCTGGGGATCATGTGAGAGAGGCAGGAGTTCAGGATGAACTCTGGAAAGCTGTGATTTTCTTAATGTCAATAAGGTGCTTGGATTTCCATGCTGCAAGGCTACTTTGCCATTATATTTTTGTTTTGTTTGACACTTCAGAGATCAGTTTTGTTTTCATTTCTGTCCCATGTGCTCAGAAGCAATCTGAGAATTTAATTATTGATCATTCATAGGTGGAGATGATATGCCTTAAATCAACTATTTAAATGATATTATCTGTTCCTAAATTATGAGTGAGAACTTCCTTTGCCCTAATGTGGATAGCCCCAATAAAATCAGTTGACTTACTCTCTTTACTTTGCTGATGTTTGGGTCAGGTGTGTACATATACACATCTGCTCTGTACCTTGATGCAAGAAAAGCCATGTATATGTGCCTGGCTAGGCACAACCAGCCTTTACAAGGGACCTGCAGCGTTTCTATACCCTCTACAGTCTAATCGGTTTGATTAATTAATTTAAGCTGGAATACAGACTTGTGGTTTAATTAGATCCATTTAATTGGATCAGGAGTCAACGACTACAGACAGTTTTCAGGCTCCATGGAGTGTTAAATTAACTTGCACTGCATGTTTATATGAGGGTCACTTTTGTGAGTTTAATAAAAAAAACAATTTCTGTTTCCTCTTCCTGTGTACTAAAAAATGAAAAATGATAGGCTTTCTGTATTTTTAGCTTGCTCCTGGAATCTGCGTACAAACAAAATTTTACAGCCAAGCAAAATTTTACAGTCAAGTTATCAGTTCCTGGCAATGTTAAACACTGACAGAAACATCCTTCACTAACGGCAATGCTGTGTGTTACAGCCTTAGCAACATGGGGTACCACTGTGTAGAGGGAGTGCAGAAGTCGGGTATCAAGGCAGCTGTTACTATCACAGCTTAGGGATGCTAATGTAGCTTATATGGTTCTTTGGCAGGGCAAGGATGGCGAGCCTGGCCTCGATGTAAGTAATGTGTATGACTAATACTGTCTTAATGGTAGGTAAGCATCTTTCAAGAAATAGCTTGCTGAGTGTAACGCCTTTGTTTCCATTCAGTGTGCATGCAGTACATACAGAGACTGTGCTAAATGCTGCATTTTTCTCTTTCTCTGTCCTAACAAGGACAAAGATTATGTGGTATACAGCCCTTACTGACAGACCCCACCAGATATAGTGCTTAGGAATACAAGTAGTTGGGCCTTTGGAAGTCAATAGGCTGAAAAACTGCACTTGATAAGAAAATATTCAGACTTGTGACTCAGTCACAGAAGAACAAGGAGTCACTAACGCTTCGTTAAATAAATTTATCCCAATTAAAGAGAACAATTCCATAACCTGTAAGGGATACTTTTCAAAATATACGGTCTTTCTCTGGCATGCTAAAAGGACTTACTGAAAGCTTTTTCCTCTAGTCCTACACTGAAATACCTAACTTGGAGGAGACTTTTCTAGAATGTACATATGCTACATAGCATGGACTGTTGCCGTTTTGAGTGATATGATTTCTTTCCACTGGTGGCAAAATGACTCTTACCAATCACCGTGACTGATTTGTCTCACATGCTCTTGTGTGCATGCATGTGTACACATAAAACTCACATATACATACGAAGCATGTAGTGAAATCATCTTTTTTTATGTTTTCCAAGGGTATTTAAGCTTAACCTGCATGTGAATAAAAGTCGACCTATCTTTGTCCATTTTGTTTTCATAGGGTTTCCCTGGTCCTCGAGGAGAAAAGGGTGATATAGGAGAAAAGGGAGAAAAGGTGACCACAGTGTTATTAACTGTTGTTTGATTCCTCAGCCTAGTCAGTTCTGCTGTCTTTTTGCTATAAGTTGTTCCATTAAAACTTATCTTTGTTTTTACTGTGTGCCAAAAGGCAGATCATAGATACATGCTAAGCAAAATTATGAAAAACTATGCACAGAACTAGTAATATCACCATGCCCCAGAGCACAGCTTGTTTTTATTCTCATTTTCTCCAGTCCATCCTATGCTTGTTGAAAATCTGTGTCAGCCTGAAATTTTAATGCAGACATCACTGAAATGTGTCATTGTGGTAGTAATTTTATACTGAAGACCCCAGCTCTGTTCCTTGGAATTACTTGCAGTATAACACTACCTGTCCCATATCAAATGGGTAAGGACAGAAACTGTTTAAATTTTTTTTTTTTTTGGTAATGTCTTGTTTACAATTAAGTTGTGGATGGAAATTAAATCATACACTCTACTGCTCTGGTAGACCAACTAGACGGTGAAGTTAACAGAAACAGCCTAACTTCATTTTCACTGTCCAGACACAGTGACTTGGAAGTATGTTTAGTAAAATGCAATTCAGGACTAAATGGATGCAGAGAAACCTTGTCAGCAAATCTCCCCCATTTCTTCTTAGTGACACAGAGCCCAGTTACTAAAACTGCTGAATTAGCCCTCACACCAAGCCACTTAATATAAAAGCCCATACACACAGCAGGTGATTTTTCTAGTTCAAACACCTATTTTTGCCTAGCTGACATGTACAGAGTTATACTAGGTCCACTTCCCATCATGATATCTTAAACAAGAAGTGGGTCTAAAAAGTCACCATGGCTGTTTTCACCTTTTCTTAATACTGTCAGGCAAAACACTTCCCAAGAACATATTGATAAGGGTACTATGAAATGTATAATTCCCTCTGTCTCTTGTTATATTGCTTATTTTGAGCTCAGAGACCACTGATAAGGTACTGATTTTGCAGAACAACTGTTGCTTAAGCAGGTGCTTTATGAATACTATAAAGGCAGTGTCTGACCCGGCCGAGTAATCACAATGAATGGTGAGCTTTCATGCTGTCATAGACCACATGTCTGTCTGACACAAGCAAACAGCTTTTCTTTTTGAGAGCAGTTATCAGTAGAAAGGTGTAACTTAGAACTATCAGCTCTGATAGATGACTGGCAAAATGGCCAACCTGTGCTGAGGGGGAGTTACAGTAAGTGCCAAATCAAATGCGCTTAACGGTATGTTCTTATACTGGGATACATTAGAAGGGTTGTGTCCACAAGATTAAAATAAGTTATTGCCCCTCTCTAATAAATCCCAGAGAAGTTGCTTGAATACTGCAGATGGTATTTTAAGCCTCCCAGTTCAAGAAAAACTTAAGAAGTTGGAGAGGAAGGTGACTATTAATCTGACATAGGCCTGGGGCACATGCAACTGATAGAAGAGATTGAAGGAGGTGGACTGGCTTAGTCTGACAAATAGGAAGCCTAACTACTTGAAGGGGAGATTCAGATGTTGGAGCAAAACTCTTCTGGGTCATGGCAAACAGGAAAACACAGGACCACAAGCTGCTCCTGAGAGGTTCAGAGGGGTTATTAGGAAAACCTTGTTCACTGGGAGAGCAGCACGGCACTGGGACAGTTTTCTAAGAGAGGTGGCTGAACCACTGCCCCTGGAGGACTGCAGGACCTGGTCTGGCCTGACCTGACCTGGCATCAGGAATTGTCCTGCTCAGGGTGGGTGGTTAGACTAGGCAACCGTCAGAAGTCCCTTCCAACCAGACCTTCTGAGTCTGTGTTTCCAGGTACAGCTAGAGATACACAGACAAAATACAGCCATCAGAGCCCCAGAAGACCTCTGGAAGAAAAGCTGGAAGGCTGGTAAAATAGTTGGCTTATATACTGTGATATAATGTGAAAATGGAACAGCTGAGATTCTTGCACTCAGGATGTAAAAATATTTTAATGTACTAGAGTATAGCATGCTACTTTGGGGTATTAGTTCATTATTCCAAGAGTCTGACTAAATAGCTCAAACACAGGACCTCCAGTTGCAAGAGGACAAAGGAATTGCATGTGGAAATTGTATGTGGCCACGAAGCATGGTTAGGCCTTTTTTTTGAGCTCAGTTATGCTTGAGGCTGCCCATGTAGCCTTGTTCTCTTGGGCTGCGGGACACATCTCCTAGGAAGTCTACTCCTCCATCACCCTAAAAATCCAGGAAAAGGCAAAACTTGTTTCTTGAGGAGAATGCATGGGATAAAGTACTTAGTAAGTCTGGCAGATATGCGTTTGAAACCATGTTATTTTATGGGCTTTCAGATTAAGAGCATTTCCAGAAAGTTAGAATGAAAATGGAGATGAAATTTCTGCCTTAAAAATTCTCAGAATATTTAAAAAAAAAAAAAAAAAATTAGACAGCAAAGTCCTCAGGGAAAAATAAGGGAAGATATAGCTGAGACCTCTGTGAAATAGACTTCTGTTGCACAGTTTTGACACACTTTTTTTTCCAGAAATGAGGAAATAGTTGTATCTTGCAAGTAAACTGGTTTCGCCAAAACCACCTTAGCTGCATTAATGGTTCCTTTTCCAAATGGAAGGCTCACTCTCAAAAAACACAACGTAATGCAATTAATAGAATCTTTCGTTATAACAAATTTTCTCAGTTCTGATGTTTTCCATTATGTCAATTTCTAATTATGACCAAATTGGTGTAACAGCACCCATTTCAATAGAGGTAAACCAGTTTACAAGTTGAGGGTCCAGCTGATGATTTCTTGGTATTTAAATATTCCTTATAATATTGTCTGACATCACACAAGCTGAGATTAGCAAGTTTCTAGTTAAGAAACTTAATTCAAATTGCACTGCAAAAATAGATATTATTACTAACATTCTATTGAGAACCAGTGACACTTCATTTTTTCATAGACCTGCTGTGATCGGCAGGGAATAAATCTTTACTGCTTCAGTTTGAGATGAGTCTCAGACTGATGATTTTTCTTTTAGCCTGTTGGTAGTTCTGCTACAGTGAAAGCAAGTCAGTGTTTGCATTATGTCTGCTTAACTTGGCTGTAAAAATAATTTTTAAAAGTGTTCTAGCTGTAATTACTGATATAAAATTATAGTCCAGGAGCACTTAGCATGAAAAAGGTTTGTACAATTGATTTTGTATTTTCAAGTTGTATGAATAGAAAAAAAAATCCTTTTAAAAAGGAATAACCTTTAACAAAAGGTAGAGATTGTGTTGTGGGGAGGAGGAGATAAGGGGGTTCTCATCCCAAATGTGCACTTCTGTCTCTTGTTATAAATATTGACAAAGCAATATGATGACAGCAGCTGGAAAGACATCATCCTTTTTCTCCTACACACTGTATGGATAAAAATCTGTGCACGTGAGCATTGGAGATTGTTCTGACCATAAAGATTTTACAGCAGTGCCACAAATTTGTATTTCTCTAGGCGCTGAGGAAGGTCAGGAATTAATTTTTTTAAATCATCATCAGATCTAGATTCTCCATATCTCCTGTGGTTCTCTATAGTTCAGGGTCAGGAGCTGAAGACTGAGAGACAAGAACTGAGTCCATGGAAAAAGTAGTAAAGGACACAGGAAATCCAGGCCATTCTCTACACATATGACTGTTGCACTGGTTTGAATAAGATCATAGGTTTGCCCTGCAGAACTGGAAGTTTAAATAGTTATCTGCTGACTTGTAAGACAACAAGTGAAAGAAAGACAAGTCCTAAAGATACAAACCAGTCATAAACCAAAATGTACTGTCCATTTTCAGAATAACTTTTGAAGTATGTCCGTGCTCTGTGTTTGCATAACACTCTCAGCAAATCTGTTGATGGTACATTGAGCACAAATAACATGAGATTTGATCCTGAAACTGTTGAGCTTCTGTGCTGTGCTGTCATGTGTATAGGTTTAAGATGAAAACCAATTTACGGTTCCTGACTTGGGATTTTTTACATCACAATCTTTTAATGTGGTGAAGAACAGTAATGTTTAGATTGCTGTTTTCCTAAATATTGTCCTGTGACTTTTTGGCACACAGAAAGATAGACAAGAAACTTTGCTCCTATCATGTCATGAATGCAATATGTTTTGTTCATGGAAAATATTTTTTTATTAGAATGTGTCAAGTATGCTATTAAATGAATAATGTGCTTTCCTTCCTTTTTTAAATATGATATTGCTAATTAATTTTTGATTCTCTAAAAATGGTTTTTCTCTCGTGGTAATGGATTAAGTCTTCCTGTACTGGTGTGGAACTAGTTAAATGTCTGTTTACTATGCTTCATCAAAATTTGTCTGTCTTTCCAAAGGGGCATTCCTTCCTTCTCCTTTTACCTTCATTCCTTACAATTCCTCTGTCTTTTTTACCCTTTTCCTCACGAATTAAATCCTCCCAATAGCCACAACCTCGCTTGCTGGTTCTCCAATGTCATACTAATTTTCCTATGACTATTTTTCCCATTTCTTTGTGATATTCCTGATTTACTCATGTTTCCTATCCCATTTTTTACAATCCTAGTCCAATTTGTTTCCTTTTTTTTAACAGAACCTTTTTTGATTTTTGTGAAATTGAGAGCAAACCTGAAACTCATTTACCATTGTGATCAACTGGTGTGAAATCAATTATAAAATGAACTCTCTAAACATCTTATACTGCTCGAAGGTGAGGTCATCTTTGCAGGTAACTTTGTTGAGGGGAGTCATCTCACTTCCATAAGTAATTAAAGCATTGGAAATTTTACATTTAAAAAGAAAACTCAGTGTGAAATCAAAGGACTGAATTTCAGTAGATGAAATGTTGCCTGCAGTAGAGAGAACATTTAAATGTTGTAATATTTAAATAAATAATCTAATTATCACTTCTGATTACTTTATTATACAAGACATTATGAAATCATTGAAAGTGTCGTAGCACCTCGCCATCAAGCAGTTCAAATGTTTTGATTTCTGTAACAGGGTTTGAAATGGTCATGTTGTATTTGGAGTGACAGGAGTGCACCTTCAGTGTTGTCTGTGGGTTTCTCAGGACACCACTGAGAACAAGATTTGTCCCAAACTCTTACCACCCTGCAAATGGTCAGTTCAGCAAAGGAAGCTCCAGGTCAGTTTCACCCTTGACGTGACACCGTGGAAGTTGATAGAACCTGGCCAGAGACCAGCCATCCTTGGGAAACGTCCATGCCACAGGTCTTTTTTAGAGAGACTATTCTGATGTACTCTGCTTTTGCACTAGTGACAAATCTTCTAGGGAAGCTGACAAATTCAGCCTAATTGTTTGTGTATTTCAGTACTATCACTTAGAACAAATAGGAGATCTCTTATTTTGGACTGTGGACTGGAGGGATTTGCAGATTTGCCTCTGTCTCAAGAAATGGATGATTTCAAGCCCTGTTTTAGGATTCAAAATATTCATAACTGATATAAAATACCAACACAAACTAATACCGACTGATTCCAGTTCTTGCTTGTGATCATATAATTTATTTTTCCACATAATGCACCATCCAAACCAGAACACAGTGGTAAGTGTCCTTTCAGCTCTCCATTGGCTTAAAAAGAAAAACCCAAAACTTTTAAACCAATCTTTCTTTAATTTTTTCCAAAAGAATGAAACTTGTTTTATCCAAACCATTGTATCCACAGGGGGAAAAGGGAAAGAAAGGCAAAAAGGGGCCTAAAGGGGAGAAAGGAGAACAGGGTGCTCCTGGATTAGATGCACCTTGCCCATTGGTACGTCTTACTTGTGTATTAGAGATTTGATCATCCTGCTGTAGACTGATGGAATAAGAAATAGGGGGAGAGGAACAAGCACCAGCTACTGCCACCTGTTACCCTTTCTTAATTCAGCCTTAATCTGAATCTGAAGTTCTGGCAAACACTGGAGGAGACTTTGTCAACCTTCTGATTTGATTTAAAGCCCCAGACTTAATATCTCAGGCTAAATTTGTGGGGTTTTTTCATTATTTTCTGCCAAACATGTTGGAAAGGAACCAAATCTGGGATGTGCCAGAGTCAGTGCCTCACAAGTTGAAATCACACCGCGGTGCTCAGCTTGCTCCTCTTGCCTCTCTGTTGTTGTTTATTCACTCCAGCTAAGTCAATACTGAAGGCATTTCCTTGACAGTAACATTGCAAGTTAATCTTTACAAACAGGGATTCCGTGGAATTAAGGGGGAAAAAGGGGAGCCAGGCCAGCCTGGCCTGGATGGGCTGGATGCCCCTTGCCAATTGGTACAGTATTTCTCTTTCCTACCAACCCTGCATGCAGTTCCTTTGTTTGTAGTCAGACATTCTTAATGTAAAGTAATGTTTTTCTGAGCTGACTTTACATTATTCATGTAACACATGCATGTGCATGAACAAACCAACTGCTTAAGTGATCATAACTGCAATGAGAGAACACACATTTTTGTTGACACCTCAAACCTAACTCTCAGCAGTTTGCTCCCACATCACATGGCAATTTATAAGTTTGTGTCCTTCCTACATTTTCCCTAAGAATCGTTGGTTTGTGATTTTCCTCACAAAATACCTATTGCCTTACTCACCCTGAACACAGGTCTTTGTAGAAATGTAGCCCAATGTCCACTTCTAATCAAGTCTGATGACTTCTGTCTGCACTGGCTCAGTTTTTCACCCTAGCCTGTCCCAGAGCTACTCTGCACCCTGGTCTTCCTTTCAAATCCATGTAGTCTTAGATGCACGTTTTCAGGATTTGGCCAAAAAGAGTCATGTATAATGTAAATATTATTTCTAAAAATCAAATCATAGGTTTCCAGTAAGGCAAGCTGGAGTCTGATCTCCCAGACCTTACACAAGTAATAATTTTATTGTCTGTCCTGTTCATCAAATACTATTCAAACAGATCTGGAAATGAAAAGCTTACCTGACGTTTGTAAGAAGATAACGGTCTGCAGCCCAAACCCTCACTGTCTTTGTTATTTAATGTCTTCAATTTAATGGTCTTACCCTTGGAACTTACCTTCCTGGAATACACACAACACTCCCCACCCTATGTTAGCATGAATTCAAGTTCCCACCTATACTAAAATGCTACTTGTTGACCCTCTCCCTTGTACCAATCTGGCAACAGTGATTTTTATTTAATGGCAAAGTAAGTTTAAATTCTTTTCCATTTTAAAAAAGAACAGTACATACACATTTAAAGATACAAGGAAGATTTTCTTTTTATTTGTTCACAGTAAAATTTGATCTGCATGTTCTGATATTGTTTGGTGCTTAAGCACGGTTCTCTAAGATGAATGTTAAGTAGATTTTATTTCAACTATAGAAATTCTAATTTGAAATTGATGGATTTTAATCTTAAATACATAGTCCATTAAGATTATTCCACAGTCCATTTTGTTTGCTTCCAATTAATGGTAACCATATCTCATATTTTGTTGGGGATAATCAAGCATGCTTTTGTAATTTAAAAATGTTTCTCTGTATTATCATTTATATCTGGAGATTCACTAACAATCATTGATAGATGAAAAATTTTCTGTTCATAGAAAAAACTACTAAGCAAACAGCACTACTTCTCGCTTTAGGCAGCAAGCCATTCCTATCAGATTACATGCAAACACATTCAAATATTCTCATTAACACTGTCTTCACATGTAAATTCACATATATAATTCACATATTCACAGTATTGTTCTATATTCTAAAAAATGTCAGGGCCTGATTTTTTTTCTGCTCATGTATAATCTAGTGCCCCTTAATTCTGAGCATATAACTCTTTGGATAAGTCCTGTATAGCCATGTAAATTGAAATTAGTTCCATGAAAACCAGTTTGACTGTGGTCAAAAGTTGGCTTTGATCTTGCTGGACACATGGAGATATGTGAAAGTAGGGTGGTGACAGAAAAGAAATGGAGTGACTCTCACTAACATAAGATGAAATTAGGTGGGCATATTATCCAAGCAATGAAATAATCAGTGCCGCTGTACTGCCCTCCTCCCACCACTGATGTTTTCTTCCACTGTGTCACCTGAGGTATGTTCAGGCCTTAAGATTTTGTTGCTTCATTCAGAAGCTAAGAATGAAAGTGAACAGAAATGATACTACTCAAATTTGAGACTTGCTATCTTATCATTGGGTTAACTTTATACTAGGGACCCATAAAACACAATACCCTCCAGATAAAACTGATAATATTTTTTTTGCTCATTGATCTTGTACATTCAGCTACAAATTGTTGTGAATAACAGATTATATTTAAAATAATATGCAGCCTGAGCTCTAACAGCAATAAGAAACTGATGAAGCTGTTTGATTTAGGAAAAAAAAAAATCTTTAAGGCAGAGAGGCGCACATATGTATTTACAGTGTAAACCTTCTCTTCTTTGACATTTCTTTCACCTTGAGAACAAGAGAGGAAATGTTAGGAACTGGTAGCTATTTAGTAGATAAAAAGCCAGAGCTGCTTCAACTGTTCTGACAGATGTGGATGTAGTCTCTATCCTATCAAACCTAACTCTGCTTTTTTGCTTGTTTTTTTTCCCCCTCCCCTTGAAACAGGGTCCTGATGGATTACCAATGCCTGGCTGTTGGCAAAAGGTAGGATGGGCAGAACTTTTCCTTTTCAGGGGCAGTACTTGCTTGGCACACAGAAAAGCCTGGCACAGTGATATTGAACAGTATCAGAATATACTTCAGAGCCTCTTAGACAGATGTATGCAACAATGCAAAATAAGACCTCACCATGACAGTAGTCAGCGTGATGGGGTTGTAATACATGTACAAGTAATAACTCATTGAGGCAGTATTGTAGAGACAGTTGACGTTGGATTTCTGGGAAGTCCAAGACTTTTCTCTTTCATATGAAGAATCACACATCCTTTGGTTTCTGCACTTGATCACTGCTTCCCATTCTTTATAAAAATTCATGGATATGGCATTTTTATCAAATATTTCTATTGATCTATTATGATATTATTTTTCTGGGATACCCAGAAGAACAGTGCATCCTGCCCTTCTCTTTGCCTACATTTCTATTATTCTGTATATTCTCCTGGTTGTTATGTTGTCTGCTAATATTAACTGGCAACATTATTTTAGTAAAGATTTAACCTAGACACTGCTAGATTTAAAAACAGCATTCAGAATAATGTAGATGGAGGGATACTGGTGTATAATACATTAGAAAACATAAAGCATAAGTGAAATCCTGGGTGCATTTATCTCTGAATAATAGCTGGTGCTGAAGAAATAAATATCTGTATCTGCAACTCTTCATTTTCTATGAATTTGGAATAGAAATATGAAATTGGTTTACTAATTTGATTAATCTGTATCTCTTTTTGTCTCTGCAGTGATGAATCTAACCTTACAAGCATGAAGTTGTGTATATAGTGCTCCACTTTTTGTATTTATAGTTGCAAACTGAAAATTCAATTTTACAAGTCTGAGATATGTTTACATGTAGCTGCTTCTATTTGTTTGCAATAGTCCACATGTACATCTTTTTTTCACTTACATCTGCAGTTAGATGATATTTAACTGCAGAGTAAACCTGCAAAGATTCTCTCTCTAATGAGAGAGAGAATGATCTTGATACAGTGATCAATAATAGAAATCTGATTATTTCTGTAAATTCTTACATTTTGGCTTGCGGACCTGCATGGACAATGAGTGCCATGAACAAGTTTACAAAAAATTGTGACCAAATAAGAGCAAAATGCTATGAAATGTACTGTACCAGCTGCTGTTGGAGTTTACTGACTTGGCTTCCATGTCCATCTTAAACACTTCACTGATTCATGCCACCATATCTGCTTGTACGGACTAAAAGCATGAGTTTGTGTGCCAAACCTGCTTGTTGTGTGATCACGTCATGTGCTAAATGGCTGCTCACAGTGACCTTTGATTCCAGCTTCTGAATTGTTTCCTTTTGTCATCTCAAGGGAGTCACACCGTGGCTTATTGCTAAAAAGAGATAAACCACAGGAGGATAGAAAAAGGCCTTGAATTTTTGGGGAATAGAGTTCCAGCTGCAGGTGGATGGCTTCCAGTCTTGCGGGTCACCTGGCCCCTTTGATCAAAGAGGGTCCTGCCTGTTAATCAGCATCGGTTTGCCTTGCACTGCTCACGGTCGTGAAGACATTCACGACAGGCCCTGTCGAGTCCTTACTCAAGAAGGAAAGAAGTTAGAAGAAGAAACCAGACTTCTCTGTGGGTTGTTTGAAAAGGTTACAGAGGTGCTGCAGGGATCACTTGGTGGCAGACACTGCCTGAGACCAGAAGCTTCTCAACCTTACTCAAGGATGGACAGAGTATCTGCTCTGCGTATTGTATTTTGGGACTGCTGGAGGAAAAAGCATTCTTGAGGTGGGGATGAATTGGCACATCCTCCTCCAGAGGAGGAAGATAATGGAACTGGCCAGAGATGTATGTACCATGGTGTGGTTTTCAGGTGATACAGTTCAAATTACACAAAACTAGCTGAACTTCTCTGCAGAATTTTGGAAGCTATGGTTAATTTTGTTTCTTTTTCCCATAACTGTTGCCATAAAGGATGCATTTTAATAATCCATTCAACATTTGTCATGATGGCATTGAAGAAAATACTTCAAGTCACATGTTCGTCTTGTTTCAGTATTAACAGTTTTTATTTCAGAGTCTTTGAAGCCTGCAAGTCTAAAAAAGAAAAGAGTTTATTTTTGTGTTTCACAGACTGATTTATTCTTCTTGTTCTTCTTCTGCTGTTACAGTGACCTTAGTGGACATTACTACTCAAAAAACCTTGGAGAGAAACAAGTCTGTGTGATTACCATTGCACACTTGTCATCGCACTACACTTGTTAAAGGTGTCAGTATTTCTCCATTTCTGTTCAGATTAATAGTTTTCTACAGAATCATTGGCAAAGTTTTGCTTCTCCACTTTTTTTTCTTGCTAGAAATACTTAATTTGTGCACATTTGTAGTTTTTGCCATGAGGTACTTTTTCCAGTTTTGAGTCTTCATATGGTGCACTGTAATTAGTTTGAGAGACGAGTTTATGAAAAATGGTGCCATATTTGGCAGATGGAAATTCTTTTTATATCACTTCCGTTCCTAGTGTGTAGCAGGATGATCACAAACTTTTGTAGTTACTTTTCTGAGGCTGTCTTTCATATGTAGACCAAAAGTAAAGTTAAGGAAGACAGCTTGTCTCCATCCATGGGCACACACCTTGCCCTTCTTGGAATGCATATTTTTCCTTGCTCCATCATTTCTATATCATGTGAAGATAGGGACCTGCTGTGGTTGCACTTTTTGTATTGCTGCACAAATGCCACTATAATGCAGTCTTTCACTTTGCTAAATCTTTATTGTCATTTTGGTATATCAGAAACAAAAGCAGATTTTTAATGGGGGAAAATCTTCCACAGGTTTTCAAAACTAAAAATTAATTTAGTGGCCTCCATCTAGTGGTAGCTTACTATTAAAAGCAAAATTCAACACTATATAGATATGTATACTGAATATATATATATATTTACTGCTCAATTCCATTTTTCCAATAGCAAGAAATAAACAAGTGTTCACAGATATGAGTAAAAAATGTTTTTATTTACTTAAATATTCACAGATGCAAGTATCAACCTGTTTGAATAATCATGATTAGAATAGTAAAAGCCTGTACGTGGCGTAGACTGAATATAAAGTGTTAACAGAGTGCTACAGCAGGAATGTGAATAAGAGACTTTCCAGAAAGGGGACAAGAGGAGCACCGTGTAAGCCCTCTGACTTGTCAGTTTTAGTCTGCTTATTTAAGAAGCACTATCTCAAAAAAAAACCAGACTGAGGAGCAAGCTGCCCATCTAGCAGAAAGGAGTCTCTTAACACTTATGTCTTCACTTGGCACATCTGACTAGGTATATTATATATGTGAAACGTTTTCATAAAATATCAAATACTGGCAATCATACAGTAAGATGAAGTATTTTTAAAATGTCCCTCAGAGTATTCAAATGCAAAATCAGGTGGGATGTTTTATCTGGCTAGATGTTTTAGCAGTTCCATATCAAGAGTGGCCACAAACACAACTCATTTAAGAAATAGCAACAAGATAAAGAGCTATTAAATGCATGCCGCCATTAGCACTTCCATGTTTTTTAGTATACCTGTATTTTTAGGCTGTCCTCATAGCATCCGTTTCTACACACATCAATAAAGTTAGCAGAGCAGCGATTCATGATTTCTTCATTCAGGATATAATTATAAACACTACTGTTAGGTGTTAGTCAAAACCCAATTCTCCTTTAACTCCATGACACTGAGACCCTGCTGAAGAAACACTTAAGCACCTTAATTCAATTTCTTTTCTGCCTTGTAAAGAAATTTCTTTATTTAACTCCCAGCAGGTAGGACACTTTGATTTTTTTCCAAATAATCTAACTTTTTTAAGCTTCCATATTGTTCAGTATTGTGAAAAGTTCATTCCATTTAAATGACCATGGGTGAACGGCAGATAATTTAATTTGACAGGATAAACTATATACATAGATTTGAAATTAATATTTTCACCTCAAAGACTGACTTGAGATGAAACCTAACAGGATCTAGAAAAGCTACATGTTCAGTATAAGAACAAAAAAAACGGATTTAATATTTCATCCAAGAAAAGCACCCTTTGAAGACTTGCAGCGTGTTTATTTTGTTTAAAAAACAACTATTTTTGGTGCTAGTGTATCTTTTTTCTTTTGATGGCAAAGCTACAGTTTGAACCATCTGTGTGTTGTATCTTTTAGTAGCATTCCTCCAAATAGACATGATTTGTTTTGTTTAGTTTGTGACAGGAACTGTAGTTCCTCTACCAGTCTTTTCGGTTGTAGAAATGTGTAGTGGTATTAGTCTGCATAGTTTCTATATCCCTGACTTTTTCAGGTGTGATTAATTCTTGTTTCTTTGAGAGTTTTCAGTATTTGTTTCATAGCAAGTTTTGTAATCATCTGTTACCACACTGTGCAGAAGTCCTGCTACAGAAGCAGCAAGTTTTCTAAGCACTGTATGGAATATATCTAACATACATGGTTCTTGTCTTCATATTCATAGATTAGCTATGGGGAATCTTTCTTTCAAGATGCTTTGGACACCTTTTTATTTTTTTCCTGAGATAAAGCATGAAATGTTAATTCATGAAACAATGATACAATGTATGGTTTTGATTTATATATTTATTGCTGATTTTGATATCACATTCTGATAGTGTAGCCAGGCAGAATGACACTCTTCATCCACCTCTTTATATATTGTTTTAGTCTACCATGTAAGTAGTGTGAATGAGTTTCAGAATGATCAAATCCATAAACCTGGACATGTGTAAAGTATAGAGTTTAAAAAGGGATAATTCTTAAGATTGATGTACAGCGTGGAAAGGTAGCATCAGATCCACTGAGCGTTACACTCGTGGAAGAGTGCACGTGAGCATTGGTTACTCAGTTAGGCCAGCAAAAGAGACGATGCAACCCCAAATGGGATGAGCAGACCTTTGGTCCTTGTCGGAGGTGGAGTCAAAGGATGTGGTTCAAATTCTGGATCCTGTCAGGGTTTAGAGAGATTTGTCCCACTGACCAACACTGCACCTGGATTGCAAACCGGGGCTCAGCCACACAAGACTCTTCACTTGGCTGTGCCTCCCTTTCCCCAGCAAGAAAACGGAGAGCAATGCATCCTTCCCTTGCAAAGTGCCGAAGGAAGGACTTAGGTATTGATCCTAATAACAAGGGGAATATTATCAACTTCAACAGTGGGGTTTTGCATAAATCAGGACCACTTCAGTGAGTAAGAACTGCAGAGGTACGCCCAATCTATAGAATGTGATGAAGATGTTCAAGGCATGCAGGAGCTGACCTTTTCTTTTGAATTTCCTGATCTCTGCTGCTTGACCATCTTAAATTACACTTTTTAATCTCTGTGTTTTACCTAATGAGACCTAAATTTTTGACAACACAGTCACACAGAACACTAGTATCTGCAAAGATAGTGGTCAAAAGTTTAACTTTTAGTCACTGCAAAAAATTATTCCATTTCAGTGACTAGAATTAAAACTAACATCTGATTTTACTTTTTTTTTCCTTTCTGCAACTTGCTTTTATGGATCTGAATGTTGCTATCATGTACAAATGAAGATTTTCTTGCACCCTCTGCTATTGAAGTATTTTACATGGTGGTTGGATTCATTAAATGCTGTTAGAAACAAGTGCCTGCCACTATCATTTCTGGCAGAATTTAAAAAAGACACTCCACAAAACAGGTGGAGTTTGTATTTAAAAAAAAAGGATTTGGAGTGTTGCTTTTGTTTCATTTTATTTTTAAATGCATCCAATTATCAGTGCTGCTTGGAAATTGAATTGTCTTTCGAAAACAGGGGGCCTTAACTTAACCTGGGACCGTTAGTGTTTTAGTTGTTTCTATTGAAAAAATAAATTGTATGAATTTCCCAGATACCATTGGTACTTGCACACTTCTCGGAAGTATTATGAAGAGTTGGGTTGGTGAAAGAATGTTTTACATATTGTTAACATATATGTGGATATTCTTATATTATTGTACATGTTTGGGAAAATATCACACAACTTTAAAAATGTTATTAAGATGTATGTATCTGACTTTTTCCTTTGGAAAATATTATATATTTTTATTTGTATTTTTTACTTTTTTAAGTTCAGCTATATGTGCTGTTATTTTTGTATTGCAAATGGTCTCATAAATGCAGTAGAAGAGAAAAATACAAAGAAAAGTAATTTGGCAAGGATTACAATGCTCGGGGGGAAAAAATCACATGGGTCAGTATCATATTATCAATACTAGAAATATTTTGAGTGTCTTAGCACTGTAAATATGTCATGAGACCTCCTTTGGCAAGTAATGAAAAGAATTGCAAGGTTTTAATCACCCGTTTTAATTTGTTATTAATTACCACTTTCTTGTGGCCTCTGGTCCTGACTTAATTGAACCTGATCAAACAGCATGCTTTTGTTTTTATTATTAAAATTTCTCCTTGTTTTTCAGTTGGATACAGTTTTGTTTTCTTTCAGTTTTGTACTTCAGGTTTTGTTTCTTGCTTGTGAGAAGTTGATCTTCAGAATTATTTTTACACTATTTATGATTTATTTTCATAATGTAAAAAGTGTGTAATTATTAAAATATTAATCCAATCATTGGTGCTGATTTTGCATAATTATAAAGTTCTTAGTGTTGCTGCAAAAAATTGTTCTAGTCTGTCTGGATTGGAAAAAGTGTGTGCTACATTGTGCCAATCTGTAGTTTGAAATCTAGTGCAGGTCGTATCAGTCAGTATTCACATTCACACAAAAATCAGGGCCTTTGCAACTTGTTCCATTTTCCTATAGTATGCAATAAAAAACCAAAGAAATAAAGCTGAAAATCACCAGTCTCCCCTTTCTGTAATACTGAAGGTGAAAAATAAACCTGAACTACTGAAAAATAAAGATGTACACGGGCAGTGTCACGAGTAACAGTGCAAGCTAGAACGTGAAGGTCTGTTTTACCAAAAATCCAGTTAGTTCAGAAAAGATGGAGCATAATAATTATTGCAAAATGGTATATTTTCAAGTACCCTTGTCTAAGATGACACATTTTTGCAGGAGTCTCCTTGAACAAAGGACTTTTTTTGAAAAATAAAACATTAGGCCGCAGCTGTAATCTTTTCAAAGCGGTATTTCAATGTTTGGGTTTTCTAAATCCCAAAATATTTCAGACAAACAAAACACTCCACATTGTTTCCCCTTCCATCACCTCAAAAATGTACTCACTCTAGGCCAGTGGTTCTCAAACTGTGGTCTGCGATGTCATCGCAGGTGATCTGTGAAGGGTTAAATCAGGGGTGGGGAACATCCAGCCTGGAAACATTTGGTCTGTCCCTCAGCAAACACTGCACCTCCTTTTCCCACAGCCCCCTCCCCTCAATGCTCCTCTCATACTCAAGCCCTGACCCCTGCCTGCCCTGACGCACTAGTATATTCGGTTCTAGTACGGCTGGTGGGAGCCACTTTAACTAGGCGGTTTTGCTCTTAAAGACATTTTCTTAACCCAATGACCCTCTTTAGGGTCACAATGGTGCTGAGGTCTGTTCCTCCAAGTGGTGGCCCTGGACCCATAAACAAAAATATATGGTGACTGAATACAGAAAAAAAAAGGGGTGGGGTGTGTGTGTGTGTGTGTGTTGAGAAGAATCGTCAAAACTTTTAATCAAATTTTAATGTCAAAATTGGCATCAAATTTATAATTAGCATGTTAACATACCATAAAATGGGCAATTTGAGCAAGAAGAGTATTGTTGCTATTATTTTAAATTCATATGGGATCATTGCAATGAAGATATTATGAGTGTGTGCATTAACAGATTAACTTATTTCCCCTTCTCTTCAAATTTGAAGACGCTTAATGAGAAAATTGAAATAAATATTTGATGCAGTCTAGTGCTTTAAATCTTGAATTGAGTCTTGGTGGTCCACAGCCATAAAATGTATTTAAAGGGGGTATGCGGTGAAGGAAATGTTGAGAACCCCTGCTCTAGGCTAAGAGAGAGAATGAGCACCATGGGGGTTTGACCTGTACTATTAATTCTTAGTAATCTCCACAAATGTCCATTAACCTTACCCAACTCAGTTTTAGACTCTTGGGGTAACTAAAAATAGCCTTGCTGCTTTTCCCAGATGAGGTACATACTGCTCAGTGTACCCAGCATCCCCGAGGAAGTGCCCAGCGCCACTGAGTGCAGATGCTGCTCTGTCACGTGCGGCCCAGGGGGCTGCAAGTACTGCTGCCACCCCAGCCAAGCAGTCCAGACCCAGGCAAAGTCTCTTCTGCTGTGGTTGCTCTTGGGCTTTTCTTTCTTCCAGCTTCCTCCTTTCTTCTCCTCTTGCAGATGAGGGAAGGCAGTTCCAGGAGATGATGATGATGTCCTGCCAAGAAACAAAGTACGTTCTGGACAGTTCCTGCTTTTTTTCCCTCCCAGTGCTGTAGCTACTCTGATGTTAGACATGTCACTATAAACATTCTGCCTGCAGTCTACCTATTTTCAGTGGTGTCACCAGTATGCTAACAACCAACCTGCCCTGGCTGCTGCTGGAGTCCTTTTACTGCCTCCCTGTTATTTTTCAGTATCACACTCCCTCTAAAGTCAAACCAGCTAACAAATATCCTATAGCCTTCACATCCTACAGCATTCCTGGGACATGACTTTCCTTCAGAACTTTGTGATGTGCCAAAGCACATGCAGGGCTGCATGTGAAATGCCTGCCACTTCTTTTTTTTTTTTTTTTTTTTTTTAATGGACCTTTTAATTAAATACTTAAAGGCCATTACATCGAATTTTCTTTGTGGAGCTTCTGAACTTGCTAATCCCTATCCATTTGTAACAAGGACCTCAGAAGTCAAAAAATAAGCAACAGAAGTGGCTTCTCCTATCCTCATCTCACACAGATTCACCTAGTGGCTCAGTTATAATAACCACACCCAACTAAATGTTTAAAAACAAAAAGAACAAAACAAAACGAGCTGACAAAGCGTTCATGTTCCAGCAAGTAGTAACAACTGCATCCAAATAAATATTAAAAGAAGACAAACAAGGGAATGCCAAAACATTTAAGTCATGTTCCTGCAAGAATCTTCATGTCTTCTGGAGTTAATAATTTGTTTTCTCTTCTGTCAGCTTCTGCTGATTTCCAGACAGAGTATTCTCTTCTCCTGGATGCAGAGAAAAATACAGTGTTGTTGGATTCATGCTCAAAACTTGGAGCTTGGATGCTCCATATATATGTATGTATATATGTGTCTATATGCACATATACACAAATATATATATATATATATGCATGCATACAAATATAAATATATATAACCTGCAGTGTTTGGGAAAATACTGTACACAAACCTCCTCAGAGAGATCATGGTCTGCTAGTATCGTTACACTCAAGCTGGTTGTCTGTCTCTGAGATCAAAGCTGGCCACAGCTCCTGTCACATCAACCAAGATGCAGGTTTTTCATGTGCTTACACCAAGACAGAATGTTCAAAACTAAGAAATATCCTGATTATTTTTGTCTGGGCAGGTTACAGCTTGACTCAGTTTTCCAAGTGTCCACACCTAAACTGAGCAGGCATGAGCTGTCACTGGCATCACCTTTGTCTGGCTGCTCCCTCCTGGAGCTAACAAGTACCTGTCAACTTTTTGCAGGCTTTTAGGAACTCTCTTCTCTTCGGCATATTAAGATTTTAATGATGTAATTGTTTCTGTCTGAGATAAAACTGATAAAAAAATATGTCCAAAAAAGATTATAAAATACCAACTGTCCCTATTAGCTTGTGTCAGAAAGGTGTATATAGAATAAATTCGCCATTTAAAAATCTGGAACTGCAAACACTACTGGTACATTCAGCAATGAAATGATTCTCAAAAATTATTCAGGACCTAGCAAGCATGCAAATGGCTCTGGAAAGTAATGCCGTGAAGCTCAGTGATTAACATAATCTTGCTCTTTTCTGCCTTCCCCTTGGCCTGTTTGTGCCCAATTCTCATCCTGCATTCGACTGACTCATTGGCCTGCTGCACAGATCACTGCATCAACTCGCAGGCAAGTCCATTCCTCTTTGAGAGTAACTGCCAAGCAGCTGGCTATCCCTGAGAAGGTGCAGACAAGTATGGTTTGTCTGTCTTTACCTTTCTGTACTGAAACAGATCTTCAGTGCAGATTATTTTCCAATGACGATCTGTAATAAGTTTGCTTCTCAGGGTATGCTAGCAATTCATTGTTTTTCAAAGGTATACTAACTTCTTAAACAGTTAAATAGGGAGGCAAAGGCACTTTATTTGGATAGTTTGAATAGGTTTTAGAAATATTCACTCATTTTTACCATCCATACAGGGAGCTAGGCTGCTCGTTGCTGGTACCCTGCCAGGATAAAGCTCTTAAACAAGTGTGGACAAAAAAATCAATTAAAATGTTCAGAAAGCAAACAGAGCAGGATGGAGAAAACAGTATTTAAGGGAAAAAAAAAAACACCAAAAAAGCCAAAAAAACCACACTTTTAATAATTCTCTATATCATAAAGAAGTAGCTGCTAGTATTTACTCCACAGCTTTATGAAGGCAAGTGGAAGGAGCAGCACACACCCCCTCCCCTTCCAACAAGCCACTTCACCTACCACTCTGAGCTTTCCTGATGAAGTTTAATGTTGCTTCAAGCAATTAGTAATCTAGCTGTTAACAAACTTTCCTTTGCTAAACCTGGAACAAAAAGCCCTGATACAAGCAGGGCTGTCTGCTGATGCATGCTTGTAAAGGAGTAGCTTGCATATCCCTTAAATCTGTTTGTGGTCCAGGTCTGTGCAAGCAAAACTGGGCAGGTCGGCATAACCAGCTGAAGTTTCCCAGTGGGAGCATTCCCAGCAGCCCAGAGCAGAGCCAGGGCCGTGCCTGGCACTAACAGAGGGCACGCACCAGCTGGGTGCGGGACAATCCTGGCTCCTGAAATGCCTTTGGCCTCAGGTTCGCGTTCATCACCTGAACTCTAGCCTTCCTTTACATTACTGTTACATAGGGATTGCAATGAGGTCCAGTGTATAATGTGTACAACCTGAAGTACATCTGCCCTATGCTACTTATCATTCCCCAGCTTGCAGAGAAGCAAGCAAAATGGAGAAGCATTGCAAACAGCATTCCTGACAGGCTCTAGCCTAGGCTGGATTTGGATGTTAGCAGATCTAAATTCCTGTTCTCCTCTCCTGACCCATCAATGAGTCTCATTGCTGCCTGCGCAATACTGCCCTAGCTGACAGCTTCGACAGCTCCCTCAAATCTTTCAAGTCCCTGCCTTCTGCCTGGACAAGGCACTGAAGACAGGCAGCTGCTGTCTCTGCCAGGATCTAGAGGTGTAGCTACTGGTGCCTCCTACCACTTCTGCTACATGGAGGTTTTGTTGGTTGGTGAGGCAAGGCTGCCAATGGAGCAGGAATGTGAAAGCTGCAGAGCTTCAAATTAACACTGTCTGAAGAAGCTCAAGAAAATGCCTGTAGGAAAAGAAATGCTTGATTAGAGAAGCAGCAAGGTGGCTTATTGGCAGAGATACAAAAAAAAAAAAAAAAAAAGTATAAATCAGGAGGTGGGTTTCTTCCATCTGCAAAATTTGGGACGACTTATTGGATACTGATCTAGAAAAGACAAGTATCATCAGCACAGGAAATTGCGTGGCTTTACATATGCTCACTGAAAACCCTTCCAAACATAGCGCTGCAGGTGGCACAGCTGAGCTACAGACAGGGTAGCGAGGACGTGGGCGCAGGTTTTGCTGCTGTCTACCCATGCAGCTCAAAGAAGCAGCCTCCAGCCGAGGAGAGAGTGCATCTGTGGCAGGGAGAAGGTAAAGGTGAGGTGCTCCACTGGCAGCTTTGCTGTTTGGAAATGTGATGCCTCTTGCCATGAATTCTGCCCTTCTTCCCTACAGATTCGTCCCCTTTTTCTTACAGGCTTTGATGTCCAGTGAGATGGTTATCAAGGGTAACCATGAAGAAATGTCACATTCAAGCAGACCAGTTCTACATTGGTTAGAGAGAGATCGTAGGACCAGTTACACTTAGGTCTTGCCTAGACCCAAAAAGGGTGTGTGCCAATGCATCAGAGCACCAGGGCTAGAGCCCTTACCTACTTACCTATACAGAAGCATAGGAAACAATAGCTCTTACTAATTTGCCCTGCTTTACAAGAAACACAGATGCAGGCTTTGATGGATGTATGCAAGTGTACATCTCAGCCTACACCTGCAAACAGGTTCTGGGAGATAAGGAGCTGTGAGGTCCTTGAATTATGACCCTAATTTTGATTTAATCAACTGCTTGGTGCCTCCCACGAGGATGTCTGTAGCAGAAGTGCTTTGGCCACCAGAATGACCGACGAAAGGTGGGCAAACGCAGGCATGGCAGGTTCGCCGCTGGGACCTGGGTGGCCACCGGGCTCTCGCGCTGTCCCTCCGCAGCGAGTCGCTTGTTTTGCAAGTTTGCGCCGTTTTGCATCGATAAAAAAAAAAAAAAAACTCAAAAGCGCGGAGGCAACCCGCGGCGGAGCTTTAGCCGAGTAGTACACACGAGTGGCCCGAAAGGGAAAACCGAAAAACC